CTGCGGGGCCCGCGGCGGGGGGAGGCTGCCTGGTTTTAGCGCTTGTGCGAGGAAGGCTGCGCTGTGCGAGCGCTTGACCCGCGTCCTGAGGCGTGCGGAGGAAGGCGTTCCTGCTACTGTGAGTTAGGCTAACCTGGCGGCTGTTAAGCGCCCTCCGAGTTACCGGCTTTTAGATGATGGGTGTGTTAGTGCTGGGTGTTCAGTGTCTTACTTTGACTTACTTGCCAAGCTCTGTAAGAACTGTCAACTTCGGGGTACTTCTGGCTGACCCTCTGAGTGCTTTATCACCTTAAGACTTGAGTGACTTGGACTGGAGGCACTCAAGGCGGATACTGTTAGCTGCACTGCAGTGCCAACGTGAGTCTTCTCCAGTGGCTTGGTCCTGTAGCCAGCGTGCATGCTTGTGCTGGGCTGCTAACTCCTGCTCTGTTCGCAGAAGTGTGACCTGAAGCTCTCGAATCGGTGATCAGTACTTTTGTAAGAGTTACTAAGTTATCCCACTAAGGTTCATTAGTCTTCATTGGAAATAATAGCACCATTGTTTCTCATTCGAGTGAATGAATGCCACAAATAATTTATAACACTGTGAAGCTCTTGTTGGTTGAGCACACTGAAAGTTGGCAACCGTTGTAAAACGCTAGAACACAGAATATGCTAAATATGCTTTAAAGGCAATCCAGTGTTATCTTTGCTTTGACTAAAGTTATATAATAGGTGAATAGAGGAGATGACGGAAAAACAAGGCAGGAGTAGCATTTAGCCTGTGTGAGGCAAAGACTAAATTATGCTTACTGCTCAGAATGGTAAGCAGTAGAAAGAATGAAGACAAATCTTATAGACTGAATTAATTTGATGCTCATCCAGCTGCCTTGGTGCACAGCATACAATGCTGAATATATCTCAGGTATGAGAGAGAACACTGTTTCATAATACAGTGGAACTGGTATTCATCATGAAGTGGTAAGAACTTGGCCACGAAGCTGATGTCCGTGTGTGTGGTTCCCCCTCCCCCCTCCCATGTTTTTAATAATTCTTGTGAACACAACCAAGAGATCCACGGTCCTGTAAGCTGGCACATAAGTCCCTTGGCATTTTTTCTTCAGCCACTTTTTGAAGAGGAGAAAAAAAAAAAAAAGGAGCAATTCACACAACTTATTTCCAAGATGTGTAATGGCATGGGAATGCTTTCTGCTGCCCTAGGAAAGAGCAGGGGAGGAAGGGCAGCAGACAAAAAAGACCTAAAAACTCCAGTTTTCATGGAGGAGGGAATCCACCTCTAGACTCTTACAGGATTATTGTCTATGATAGGTTGGTGTGGGTTGTTTATTTCTGTATGTGCTTTATATATTGTCTGCAGGCAATCTATAGCTTTTGAATCCTGGATTAGTTGTGTTATGATGAACAGCTCCTGTACTGTGCTCGCCCTAGGTCGCTAGATGCGCATACAGTTTAGGATTTGAATGACTAGCTATTGCAGTCTCAAAAATGTGCAGAGTACTGTTTTGAAATGTCATAGCTGCAGAGGTGAAAACTTAACCTGCTTCAGTCTTTAGGAGAGACTCTTGGATGAGAATTTTTTTGACCTTTGCTATCCTGCTAACTCTAACATTAGAGTTAAATATTCTGTTGCTGGTTGCCTTAGATGGAAAGGAATGAGTAAATTCCACTGCTACTGGTAATTTAAAAAATCAGGAAAGGAAAAGGAAGAGAGAAAGATAGGTCAGAGAAAAGGGACGAGCCATAGAAGGCTGAAATAGCTGTAGAATCAGAAGATCCCCTTTTCTTTTTGCATAGTAACAAATGTACACAAGTAAATGGCTTTAGGAAAAGACCTTTTCCCTCTGATCTGTGTGCAGGCTTGGTATTGTCTAGCTACGGCCTATTGAGCATAGGGAATCGTGTGTATATTCTGACCATAATGAAATGCAGAATCTAGCCAACTGCTTGAAATGAGGTTGGCATTCCTCTTTTTGACCGACTGCTGGCAGATGGCCTGGCTCTCGGGTTGACTAGCAGCCCTGTGCTCTTCAGCCTGTTTGTTAGTTATGTGCAAACTGTGGCCTAGCCCAGTAGGAGAGCAGTAGCTTTCCCTGTCTCTGCGGAGCGCTCTGTTTTCAGTACTTCCCCAAATTCGGTTAAAAAGGTCACAGTATAGGTCCTGCTAAGGGTTTGAAACAGAGGATGCAGATTTACGCCTAGTTTTCAGATTTTCTGTCCTCAGATTAGTTACTTAGGAACGTAGGGTTTAAGCAACCAGCGTGAATGAATGAATCTGTAAGCTCAAGAGATGACTTGCTTTAGAGGTATGACTTAGTGGTGTTAGAACGTCACAAATGGCTAATAGAAAATAAGTCTAGTTCTGAATCTTGAAATCAAAGGTGTAGTCTGAACTGGAGAAATCATTACCTTGTGAATAGAGAAGTGCATTTATATGTATATACACACATACACACGCATATATAACTTTTTTCTTGAATAGCCCCAATATAAGGGTGCTCAGAGAATCCATCCACTACATCTCTAAATGTAAGAGAAAAATAAAAATGCAGTATGGCACATTTACACTGAGCATTTTTGATGAACTGTTAACTTGTTTTTCTTACTGCCCAGTAGTAAAAAGTGGAACTTTGCGATATTCACAATATAATAAATCTAAAATGTGTTGTTTCAAGCATTTATTATAGCAATTCTTTTCTGTGTTGCAAAGTCACGTAGCTCCAGTAGAGTTAAGGAGTTGAGTTGCATCTGATTTTTTGGCTGACATTCAAGCCACCTCATTGCTGTGTCAAGTGCAGTCAGTGTTTCTGAATGGGATGGGCAATGCTGACTTGTGTCATCTTTTGAAGTGTTTTTCTTCTGCTGTTTTCATTGCTGTGGTGATGTCATTCACGATTTGATATCCAGGTCTATATGTTAACTATGTAGCCAGTTGTTAATAGCACTTTTGTTAGTCATTGCAGCTGCTTCTATGATGAAGCAAACATCAATACCTGAGGCTTCTTCAGGCTTTTTTAAATTAAAGAATTTATCATCGTTAACCTGTTGAGGCTTTGATTTCCTCCCCTGCTTGATGGTGTTTTGTTGCCCGAGAGTTCCCTTCCTTGCTCTGTGTTCACTGTAAGAAGCCATTTCCTCATTGTTGCCAGTGAGCTCCTTCTCCTGGTGATTTTTGAGGATCTCAGTAAGGCTTGGACTGCAGAGTTAAAAATGTTACAGTTTGAGGCAACACTTTATGGAAGGTTTTTAGGGACATTGTCATGGTGTACATGATGATAGGCTCCTAAAAAATTCTATTTTGGAGGCCAGTTTCATCAGCTTTATATGAAGTATTTTTTATGTAAATCAGAGATTTAGTTGGCAATTCCAGAAACTTTCTGGAAGTTCTTAAACTTATTGACAACAAACTAGCTGCCTGGAAGTTTCTCTCTTCATCTGGAAAGGTAATGGCAGCTCTGGCACGAACATCTGTCTTCACGTTAAAATTTAGGTTGCCGTTACTTTTGACTTTCTCTGCCATTTCTGGGTGTTTCTTTGTTTCCTGGATAAACCCTTTAAATTACTTCTTTGTCTTTTTTGTTTAATACATTTTCATGTCTGTGCAATTTGTTTGAATGGCAGTTAGGCATAGAAAACAGATCACCTCTGGTCAATGCAGTTCCTTAGCATTTATCAGAGAAGCTGTGTATTTGATCTTTGTAATGTCTTTTTGTCCCTTGTGTGCTGTGTCAGTCTTGCAGATAGCTTAAATTTGATATAAGGATGAAAGTTCCAGAGATTTTTTTTTTTGGTCTTCTCCAAAGTTGTAGGCAGATAATATGCTTGCCACCCCCCCCCAGGGCCTTCTTGCTGGGCTTCTGTAATAGCATAGGGTGGTTGTGGTAGCGTGAAGGGTGTGTAGGCAGGGACTAGAAGCCTAGGGTTTTGGCAGGACAGATGGCTTTCGTGGAAATATAGGAGGCAGGTTGAGAAGGAGACCTGGGTCCAGCGGATAAGAGAATCTTAAAGTTAAACCAAGGCACTAGTTTTAAAAGGAAAATATGAAGCCTTAAAGAGGACAGTATAACTATCCAGAGTCTTCTGCTCAAAGAAGTTTTTACTGGACTCTAGAGATTAAAAATGAGAAAGAGCAGCAAATAATCCAACTAGGGGAGAAAGGTTTGTTTCAAGCACCTTCTCTCATAATACTTGGGCAACTTTGTGGTATAGATCTAAAGTAAACTGAACTTTCTTAGTAGTGATGGTCATGACTCTTTATCACTTTGCACGCAGTTTTTTTTCTGTTAAGTTTCCACTGGCTATTTATGTATTATCAATATTTTTGACTAATAGCACAAACCAAAAATACATATTCAGAGTTAACACGTGAATGATAGATGAATAATGGTATAGGGTGAGCGAGAGAGCAAGTGGCAAATTTTGCCTTAGATAGCATTTGGACAAAAGCTCTGTATGAATTATTGTTTGCTTTAATGACACTTGGATAGTTGACTCCGCACTGTATATTAATGCAAGGCCCTAATGCAAACATGCTCCGTCTAATGCAAACATAGTCCATCAGAGTAACTGCAGGAATGGTATATACTATTAGCTTGCTGAATTTAGTTAGGCATTACTTTACTATAGATGGAGATGTGCTGTGAAAAAACAAACAAACAAAAAAACCTCCCTCGGTCTGTGTTAGTGCATAGATAATCCTCTAGGAATTTGCATAGATCTCAGCTTCACGGTTCCTAAAATCCTATAATCTGCTGTGGAAAATTCCAGAATATGGTTGTTATCAGGGAAGAGTGATACTGACCCTAGAAAAACCCCTTTCATGGTACTGTTGTTTGGCAGCAAGGTCCTCCTCTGCAAGAGACTAGATTCTGGATCCTTCTCTAGGAAGGTGCTGCTACCTGGAGTACGCTCGTCTTCCTCTTGCTGGACGTGGCTTTGCAGTTGTTTAAAATTGCTGGTGTTGTGGTGAGAATCAGAAAACCAGAAGTGTGAGTGATGAGGGGGGAGCGTGAGCAATCCAGAGCTCACGCTGGCTGTTTAGCAGAGCTACAGTTTCAAGTAGCTGTGCAAGTCCAAGGATTGCAGTACAAGTTAATAGCTTCTAAAACTACCATACCGGTGTTAAATTCTTTCTTCTTTTCACCAGGTGCATTGGACGTGTTGATGCGCTGAACGTTTTTTGGTTTTGTTGCGTAGATGAAGCCAGGGTACATGGTGGGGTCCTAGAGCCCTTCGGGCGGAAACAGATCCGCAGCCGCTTGTGTGCAGGCAGGGATGTTGGCCCGGTAATGAATCCAGGAAATAGAAGCACGTGGGATGTTGACACTCTGGAATTATATGGCAAGGAATAAGGGATTTCTGCAGAGGTCAGCTATTGGAAACCACAAAGTGCAGCCTTCTATTTATGTCTGACCTTTGCTTTGCAATTTAATGGGCTTTTATGCTAATTCCTTTTCCTAAAAGGCAAACATTATACTCGGAAAACTTTCTCCAGTGTTCTTGTTCTACAGTGCTATAATGATTTTAATCTAAACGTTTTGAAATCTGTCTGACAATAAGACATATGCTTAGGTAACTGATTCAATTTCAGTAATGCTGGCTATAGCCATTTCTTTACTTAGTTGTAGCTAATGAATTGATAGACCTTAAAAACGTGTGTCAGTATGTGCAGTACTGTTATAAAAAGCCATTGCATTAAGTCTTTGGTTTTCTGACGCTGCTTTATCCCTTTTTGCAGAGGACAATTTTTTGATATGTATTTTCTTCTACTGCTTTCCCCTCAAGAATCAAAGCAAAAACATGCATGCGGTTCACCTTGTTGCATGCAATTGGTCAGCTCTTGGTGAAGGAGGTTAGTGTGATCTTCCTCCTCGTCCTGCTCTAACAGAATATGAAAGAATTGCCACTCAGCAACTGATTATAACTTGTCCGTGTGCCAATATGCTGTTTAAGGTTAGCCCTATGCAGCTAAAATATTTAGTTTCTATGTCATATATCTAAAAGCGAATCCAAACTATTAGATATAGTTTGGACATAACGGTATTGGTAACTAGCATAGGTTTTCTGCTATCAGAATAAAAATGTGAAACAAATATAGGCCGTGGGTACTCTGAGCTGAAATGCTAAAGTCAGTGTACTACTTTGGGGATTGTTTGCCAATAGCCAGCTCAAGACAGAAAAATTATCACCTAACTAAGTTAGATTGGCCAGAAGTTCTCAAGATGATTATCTTGTGGTTCGTGTTTAGCAGTCTTACTGTTTAAACAGTTGTAGCATGGGCAACACAAGTCTTTGTTCAGCTACAGTAAACTTAGACTGAGGAACTGATATCTGGGTGAGAGAACTCTATAAAAAAGGTTATTTCTTAAGCCAGATCAGTTCCATGATATGGTTCATTGTCTGGCTGTGCAAGTGCTTGGGCTGATAAAATGAATGCGTGGAACAGTGACTGTATAAACTAATGTTGCTACATGGAGGCTGTGGCTTCGCATTCAGACAAAACCCTAGTATTTTTGTGAGAAAATAGTAGAATGGAAAAGGCAGAGATAGAGGCGTAGATGTGAGTTAAATTGGCCAAGAAAAACCGGAAATTGGCCTGAAATGGTGGGGAGAAGAGCAGTTTGGCTTGATTGTGAAGCCAGCAACTGAAGACAATAAAGAATGAAAAATGACTTGCACTTACTTTTAGTCATTTAGGGGGGGGACTTAGGTGTAATTTACTACTTTGAAATGATCTCAACTTTTTTCTTCTTGGTAAGAACGTAATTGTTGCTTTTTCATCTGCTTTAGCAATCTTTCTGGAGAACTTGGCAGCAAATGTCAGATCTCCACTAGGAAGCAAATATTGAAAAGACACTTATCAGTAATCACTTAAACTGAAAGATAGAGTTATAGATAGATATCTCTATATCTTTTTTCTTCTCATCACATCTCTTTCCACATAAATTGGTATGTGTGTTACCCCCCCTAGTGGTAAATCTCATAATCCCCTCTATCAGCAGAAAATAGAACAAGTGGTTTTCATTTTAAGTCAATCCTCTTTTGTTTTTTCTTTTGAGTAGTTTGAACGTGCAATGCCATCTGAAGAATCTGAAACTGTATATAGCTCGCCCTCTGTAAAGTGCTTCTGCATACAAAAATTTAAACGTTTCAGATAAGTTAACTTGTGACTTAGGTGCACAACTGTTGGAGCCTAACTGATGTAGTGTTCAAATACAAGCTGTACATCCCAAAGAATCGATGCGATCTAGTGTGCGTTTCAGTCTGGGTGCCTCTTTCATTTTATCTATGATTTTCTTTTAAGCCAGTTTCAGGTTGTCTGTGTGTGATTGCACCCCAGTTTTCCTTTTATAGAAGGCTAAGGCTGTTGAAAATGGTTTTGCATTCAGCTGTTTGGAGACTTCCGTTGGTAGAGGGGGAACTTGAGGAGGAAACAACACATTGAGACATGCAGGTTTCAGTCGTTCATACTGGTGGAAGAAACTTTTTTTGTCTATAGGCCATGCCTACTGTTCATCACTGTTGCTGCTGGATGTTACTGTCCTCTGCTAGATGGCAGCAGAGTTTGTTTACTGTCAGTCAAAATTATTCAGGTTAGCAAAGATCTAGTTAAGAAATCCCACTCACTTTAACTGAACTGAATTGCCAATGTCCACAGGATTACTTTCTCAGCCGATCTGAGGGATGGTAACTTCTGGTGAGGGGGCTGTAATTTATATTGCAGACGAAGTCTTATTAAGAGAGAGATTCATCCACAGTCTGTGCTCCCTAATCTGTTCCGAGTAAAGTCAGCTAGGGTTAGTTAAACATACAGATAAAAGTGGATGGATATTAGCTGAACTGTTTTACTCTCTGAAGTAGATTAGAGAGGGTTTGTGCCATGCCTTGCTTTGACATTGTTGTGGGGGTGTAACCTCTACTTTAGTGGATGATGATGATGATGATGGTAAATTACTTGACTGCTGCACAGAAAATTGAGCTAATACATGTGCTGCTGAAAATATAAGGAAAGAATAATTCTCCTGAGACTTTGCATAAATAAAGAAGCAGCAGTGAGACATTTTTAGAAGCCTAAATATTTAACAGTTCTAATAGCTACAATATTTTGTCTCTTAATAAGAGGCCTTAACAGTGTCTTCTGTTTTGAGGTTTCAGAATAATTCTATCACAACTGTATTGGCCTCTGAATGGCTTAATGGTATTGCCTTTTTAAGGTACTGGCCATAAAGCTGCTGGTCATAAGGGTGCTCTTCCTGTAGTCTCAACACTATAAAAGGTTGCTAAATAACTTTGTAACGAGCAAGGAGATGCACACTGCCTTTGATATCAAAGACTCTGTAGATGGATGAAGATTTTAATTTAGCGGTTTACCATCTGTTACTGCAATTAACACTCTTGATAGTTAAGCTTCTTCCTTTGTGTTGGAATGAGGAGGTAGCGTTTCCTTCTTAGGTTGGTTATAGGACAGTAATCTGTTACACTGCCATCTTGCTGTGATTAAGGCTGTAGCGTGAACTCTTTGAACTGGCACTTTCACCAAAAGGAGTTGTCCGTCTTCCCTTCTGGCAGCACGTCTGGACTCTTCTCTCTTGTGTGACCTCTCTTTACATACATGGACATATGTATATGTACACATCACACTGGTTACCTGCTATGTTTAACCATGAGTTCAAAGAAACGGCTGTGCAGGTGAAAGTGTGGTTGAAGAATAGGTCTCAGTGGGAAAGCAGCACTTCCTCCCACCCCGCCCGCCCCTTCCTGGTGGCCTCGCTTTCCTCTACCTACTTAAAATGTTGAGAGATTTTTTTTAAGGTGTTTGGATTTCTCCAAATCCTCTTGGTCCTGATGAATTCTGTGGGTTTCAGTAGATGATTTCACAGCTGATATTAAAAGATAACGTAAAGCATATTAGATTTTGTCAATTAATTCCTTGAATTCTAGCGTCCTACTAAAGATTGGTTGTGGAAATTGCAGATAGCTATACAGATTTTTTAGCTATTGGTGATAACCTTATAGCACTAATATACTGTATTGAATGTGAAATAAGGAAACTGGGGTGTAAGGAAACAGAACACGTAGAGAGCTGAATTAGTAAGCAAAGCAAACTTGGCTGAAGACAGAGTTTTGATTTCTTTTTTGAATTAGCTAGTATTGACTTTGCAAGCAAACTTAATTTTTGGAAAATTATAATAGCCTTAATACAGTAGCTTTAAAGTTCTAGTATTTTGTAAGTGTTAGACATTAAATTGTCCTTAACTTTTAAGCCTGTATTCCTCAATAGGCAATGTGAAATTTGTGGTGACGAACTATGTTCACAGGACAGGGAATGGAATAGCAATGATTTTTTTTTTTCCTAGCAAAGTATATACCGCTCCTTTCTATTTAAAAAAAAAAAAAAAAGTAATGGAGAAACTTGAATAATTCTCCAATCCCCTGAAGCAGTGTTTTCCTCCATTACTAGAATGGTCTGTATCAGTCAGGTGAAGCTTTAGAAATTTCACTTCAACTGCAGTAGCTCTGCTGTATAAGAAATGATGATTTTTATTGTTTTTCTTTTCCCTCAAATACTTCCATACATGCATTTTCTAATTGTAATTATTTGCTAATACATCATTATTTAATCCTACCTCAGTCTGTTGATAGGACTTCTGAAACATATTACAATAGTTTTTCTGTTTTACAAAAATGTAGCATGCAAGAAACTTCTTCTTTAGTTGTTTTGATTGAGGCATTGGCAGCTTGAGACTTTATAGAAAGACTTCTGCAAGACTGGAGCTGATGGAAATGGTAGCATATTTCTAATAGATTCCTTCTCTGTACTGATGTATCTCTATATGCTCTAACAGTTGGGGTTTTTTTTTGGGGGGGGGGGGGGGGTATCAGGATGGAAACCTTTTTTTGTTTCTTCAGCCCTCTTCCTTGAAGAGGGGGTTCTGTCTTGTTCTAGGTGTATGATGCTGAAGAATCCTTGCAATTACTTCTACTTTTATTTATTTATTTATTCCTCCTCCCTCCTTCCACTGAAACAGAATAACCATGCAAATGCTCAAAGAATAAACTGTACCCGCACTGGAAATCTGTATCTCTTGTGTAGATTTCATTAATCTTGGCAACCTGATGAACCCCTACCTCCAGCTTCTGTTCTTTTGGACTCGGCTACAGGTTGTAAATCTGTTCCTGAGGGTCCTTGTCCGTGCAGGTTACTGTATAATAAACTTGAGGGGTTTTCTCCTCAGGTACCACTAGCCTTCAATTTAATGTCTTTATAGAAGAATACCTACAACTCAGTGCAGCATTCTCTCATCTGTCCCTCTACTCCAGAACCACCTATATTAATAAGAAAAACTTTGGTTTTGCTTATCAAAACATCTTTAACCTATCTCTGGTTTGTTAGTCACTTGAAAATAAGGAAGATAAAATTGTGGTGGGGGTACAGCTACACATACACCCATGACTCACAACTGAGGTTCCTCAGTGCTGGCATGGATCTTCATTTAAGTTCATTTATTTACTTCAGTCAAGGAAAACTGAAATTAATTTGGAATTGGTAAAAGAATTAATATAGGGGTGAGAGGATCTCATTCTAAGATGTTGCAGGACATGACAAAAACAGCATGGAATACTGCCGTACGGTCGTTAGAACTCACCACGTGTCCCGAAACTCGGTGTGTCCTTGCCTCGGTATGCTAGAGTAGAGCTTGAAGTGCTGTTCTGGGACGCTTACTTAGATGGAAATGTGTACTCTTGTGAAAACAGAATTGATGCTGTGTTGCAAACACAGCAGTGGAACTGCAAAACCTGTTTTTCTGTGAATGTTGTTTCTCCTCTTCAGCATACTCCTCTATGTGCTTGGGTGTTCCAACTCCCTTTTATTCCATCTGCTACTCTTTGTACTAGCAATATCTTGATTTCTTTGTTAGCCGCTTACTTTGTACAAAACTCACAGAAACCTCCTGAAATTGGACAAAGGGCTGAAAAGTTATTTTGAGGAGGAAGCAGGAAGTAACAACTTGCACAAGACTCACTTCCTCAGCTGACATCTTTCAAATACCTTGTTAGCTAACAAGATACTTGAAAGTATGGTATTGTATATACACTTGATCTTCCTGATTAGTTGGAAAGTGTAGGAGTTGAAGGTTTAATTGGAACTGAATTTTTTTTTTTTACATGTTTGAAAAGGTGGTTTTCATTGGGCAACTACTGGGGAAAACAGTGTTTATAAAATTACAAAATAACAACATGTAAATAATAATTTTCTTTTTGTAGACTCAGACCAAAAAAGTCTGACTTTTTTGTGGGTGGTTTTTTTTGTTTTTTTTGGGGGGGAGGAGGAGTAACAAACTTAAACCAGCAACAACAAGAAACAAAGGTTGACTTTCTTGATGGTTCCCTCTCATATTTCCTGCAGGTATTCTTCCTCCTGTCTGTTTGGAAATAGCTTAAAATATGCTGATGGGGTAAATCTTCTTGTGCAGTGCATACTTGTTTAAAGCATCTTTCTTCTAATACTAATGTATCCTTATGGGGTCTATATGGGTTCTGATTAACCTTAGCACTAGTATAGGTGTATGCTGATATAAATACTCTTCTGTGTGTGCACTTTTTGGATATTGTTTTAGGGCAAAACTACTGTGTCCACGTGATACAGAAGTATGAAGCACTACCTGGACGGGATGATGTTTTGGCAGTTGTATGGCCACATTGATGTAATCCTATGTCTTGATTAAAAAGACTCCTTTTTCCTGATATTTGGGGTCTTGCATTGTTTCTTGACAAATGGTTTCCATTGGCAGTATATGTAGCTCACAGTCAAACGCTGCTCCCTCAGTTACACTGGCAGGTAGAAATGTGGATGCTGCTGCTGGAGAACTGCTGATTCTGAGTTATTTTTAGCCAGAGTCAGCTCTGCAGTAGGGTTGCAGTCTTCATACTGGCATAACCAGGGAGGCAGTGTGGGGATCAGAGTGAATGAGCAGGGGCTAGAGACTGCTGAGATCAGCCCAGTTATTGAAAAGCACTACCCTAAAAAAAACAAAAAAAAACCAAAAAAAACCCCTGGAGTTTGACAGTCTTGGCACAATTTTAAATTTGAATATACTCATAAGAACTAAAAACATCCGATTTGCCTGCTACCGTGTGTCTGGCAGAGTACTGGTGGTAATAGTTGTGATGAAGTTTAAAAATTGGTATTTTCATTAGGCTCTCACTCTTTAAAAAAATCGAAGTTAGTTGGTTTATTGTAATAGTGTGTATTTGGCATAAGGTACCGTCTCCTTTGCTAAAACTGTCAAACGGTAGTAAGTTTGTGACCTTTCGTAGCTAGAGATCTGAACTGTTCTGCTTACCTGTCACTAGCATGGAAAACTTGCTGAAAGAAATGGAAAGTATTTTATAACTATATGGGAAGAATGGTTTTTTAAATTCACTGACTTTCATACCACTGAATTAAAGCTTCACTCATTAGTTAAAACTACTCTTCTACAGAGTTACTATACAAGTAAATAGTCAGCAGAATGCAAATTCTGAGTAAGTTGTGAAGTTATGTATATACTTTAAAATATATCTGCATAAGTAAGTGTAGACAGTTTCGAGCAGCTTGGATATCCTTCCAGTAAGGTGCATAAGTGGCGTTGGCAGCTAATGCCAGTAAACAGATAATACTTGATCATAACAAGGAGCTAAACCATACATATTTATCTTTATATATGTGTATAAGTATGCATACTTACAAATCAAATGTTATGATTGGTAGCAACAAATGCTACAGGGATGAATAATTGGTATTTTGACATTAATTACAGTTAATTCCCTGCTTTATATATATTTTGATTATATTTTTGCTAAAGTGAGGTGTTATTTAATTGCATCAAGATAGGCACATCATTTAAGTGATGTGTGAATTTATTTTAATAAAATGCTTATATTGTAAGAGTCGAATTATGTTTGAAGAATGTGCTAATCCAAGTAGAGGCAATCTGTCCATTTTGTGGTTGTATTAGTGCTATTCTAGACACCTGTAATATGCTATGAAACTAGAATAATAAATCAAATTTTGTACGTATGAGTTGCCATTTTTCTTCATTAGGGACAGGAAAATTTTTCTTTATGAAAATAACAGCAAAAGGCAATGATAAAATAAACTATACACAGTGAAAACAAGCTAGAGGAAAAATAGAGCTTAAAAATATCTGAGGAAATGAGGCAGCTTCAGTCTGCCTGTCCCTGCCTAGTGCCCGTTTGTGAGATTTGGCCTCAGTTCTTACAAGAACGAGCAGAATAGTGCCCGCAAGACTTGTGAAACCTGGCAGCAGAGAAGAGGGGAAGATGCCTAGACTTCAGCCGTGGTCTCTCCGTCTTAGTATTAGTGGGCTGCCTGGTTGGAACATGGGCAGCTCTGGGCATTTGTCGTGGTTGTGTTGTATCTCTGTGGTTTCCTCCTGCTGGTGACAGGAGGTATATTTAGGGCTGCAGGCAGAAGAACTGAGTAACAAAGAATACAAATCTGTGTAGGAAACCAGTCTTCCCCAGTTCTGCTGCTTGCAGAACAACTGGTTTGTCTCTTACTGTTTATTACAATAACTTTGGATGTGGTTATGTGTAGGCTGGAAGTGCTCAAACCAAAGCCATATACATATACCCTTAATAATACCCTTGGTATTACAGCAGATTAGTACTGTGAATGCTTCAAAGCTTGGTCTGATTCCAGTGCAAAACATTCATTTTAGTAAACCAGTCCATTTTTTTTAAGAGTAAATCTTGAACACTGTGTGGAGCAATTAAGCTTTTTGATTTTTTGCTTGTGGATTTTTTTTTTTCTTCTATTTAAGGTAGAAAGGGAAAGGAATTTGGCATCATGATACTGTGGTGGTCTTTAAGGAGCTTTTATGTATATTGAAAAAATTACATTTTGACAGTATAATCAAAAGTTAAGAAATTTGTCAAGGACAGTTTAATTGTGTGCTTCTGTAGTGTAAGGTAATAAATGACAATAGTTCAGCAGCTGAGGGATCTGGGAAGAATTGCATACGGGTCTATCACATCCTGATCTTTCTGCGTGTATATATATATATATATACATTTTTGTTGACTTTAAGCTATTCATTTAACAAGATATTTTCTGTGGATAAGGGCAAATCAATCATAATGACTATTTGTCATTTATAGCTACAACCTATCTACATTATTTGAAATAGCTTGTATTTTTTACTCTACTATTCTTTCTCCTTCTAGGAAACCCAGCGTTTGCTGGCAGAGCCAGTTCCTGGGATAAAAGCAGAGCCAGATGAAAGCAACGCACGTTATTTTCACGTGGTCATTGCAGGTCCACAGGATTCCCCCTTTGAGGGTGGGACATTTAAACTTGAACTATTCCTTCCAGAAGAATATCCAATGGCAGCTCCTAAAGTACGTTTCATGACCAAAATTTATCATCCTAATGTAGACAAGCTGGGAAGAATATGTTTAGATATTTTGAAAGGTAAGTGTTACCTTATTTTCTTTTTCTTTATCAAGTACAGAAAGTTGTAGATTGACCCAAAGAGAGATTTTATTTCTTTACAGGAGGAGGTTACTTATCCTCTCATCTGGGAGAGGGAAGCATGTTGTTTAATTTGTGAAGATTATAATGAATATGGTGTTTCTTACTACTATCAATGTCTCTTCAGATAAATGGTCTCCAGCTTTGCAGATTCGTACAGTTCTGCTATCAATCCAGGCTTTGTTAAGCGCTCCCAATCCAGACGATCCATTAGCAAATGATGTAGCTGAGCAATGGAAGACCAATGAAGCCCAAGCCATAGAAACAGGTGGTGTTTCCTCCCCCCCCCCCCCCCCCCTTAACTTTAGGAGGTATATTGAGCTGATTACTAAGAGGTTAGGAGATTTAAATCCTGACCTCTTGTTTTCTGCTGGCAACTTGCAGAAATAATTATTGCATGCAGTCATAGTCTAAGTACCCTGAATGTGCCTGTAGTGGTCCACTTTAAAGTCTGTAAGTGAGGCTTGTTGGAAAAAAAGCTCTTGATCTGTTTAATCTTGTTTTCATGCAGCTAAATTGCAAAAGTGTCTTATTTGGACTCCCAGCAGAATAAAAGTACAGGTTTTTGCCTTTCCTGTGAAGCTTAGCGTGCAGATTATTATTAGTTTCAGAAGTTACATGCAGATTATTGTTAGCTTCAGAAGTTACATCACTTTCATACCTGCTTCTATTGGAGGCTGTAATAGATTGAAAGAATTATTACGTTATGCCTCTTCACTTCTGCACCCGCTGTAGCCAGGACGTTTCAGCAACCGTCAATTTTTATATTGTCAGAATTACACTTATAAAATATCAGAACTGATATATTTTTCTATACATGCAGCAGTTGTATAAAATATATATTTTATTGTACTTAATGATAAAGCTTGGAAAAAAAAAATAAAAAATAAAATTTCTTAAACATCTGTCTTTCTCTTTACAGCCAGAGCATGGACTAGGCTATATGCCATGAATAATATTTAAATGCGCTTTGAACATCAAGTATGCATCACTTCTCCTGTTCTGCCAAGACCTCTTCCTTTTTTGTTTGCATTTAATGGACACAGTCTTAGAAACATTACAGAATAAAAGCCCAGACATCTTCAGTCCTTTGGTGATTAAATGCACATTAGCAAATCTGTGTCTTGTCCTAATTCACTATTGTAACGCATGAGCAGAGGCTAGAAGCATCATCTGGATTGTTGTGAAATTGTTTAAAAGCAGCAGCACATCTCTGCTTTTAATCACTTTTCCCATCATGGTTTAAGTATAAGCACTGTGAATGAAGGTAGGCAGGGTTAGCTGCGGGGCTTTTTGTTTTAATTTTGTGGGCTCCTCCTCCCTTTTTATGGTGATGCTAATTGCATTGGTTAAAGCAGCTAACCAGTTATACTTTAGAATATACCCTCTAGCCCAGTCTAACTTAGACGCTGTAGATGGACAAGCTTCATTGTTTGAACAAAAATGGGAACATTAAACAAAACATCCATCACCTTCACTAATAATATTGTGATTCTGCTGTCAAGTGTAGAAAAACCCCTCCAAGAAAAAGCTTGTGACCATTTTGTATGGCTTGTCTGGAAAATCTCCTGTAAATCTTATGTTTTAGTAAAATATTTTTTGTTATTCTACTTTGCCTTTGTACAGTTTATTTTGCTGTGTTTTCATTTCTCTAATGTGACAATCGTATTTAAAAATGGAAACCAGAACTGACAATTTGTCTTCACCAGTCTGACAGATTAAACAGTAAAGAGGTGGAATTCACATGATTTTTTTTTTTGCTTCTGTTTGCTGATTTTGTTATTAGTTTATGTTATATGGGTGACCTTACCTGGCCAATTTAATATGACATTACATTTGGAGTGACTTCTCTGAAACAAGTCTCTGGAGTAAGCATTGTAATTGTAATCTGATTTTAGTAATGCATCAATATGCATTTTCTTGGAAATCAAGCATCCAGTAGGAGGTTGAGAGCAAATGACAGCACTAATTGTGAGTATCTGTAACTTGTCTTTGCCGGTTATCATCAGGTATTAGGCTACACGCTCTTGTAATTTCTTCAACTC